GGTAGGTCTTTACTTTTGCACACAAACTATCAACTTATTATAATTTGAAGAAACAGCTTGAACTCCAAGCAGCTGACTTCTTAATAAAATCTTAGAACCCTAAACTCGTAGAAATCTTGAGCTTGCTAAGTAAGGCCTTTTACCAAGATACCCTTCTATCACCAAAAGCCCTTCAATTACAGGCTGCTGTATCCTCTTAACACTCCTAGGAGTCATGTCACCAAAGCGAGCACAAAACCTACTCCACGGATGCAGGAATGGAGGCTGAAGGGCTAACGAGATCCTTGAATGGATCCCGCCACGCCTCTGGCAGGTCCAAAGACCGAAGATGCCATCTTTCTCCAGAGTTACTTTTGCCTATAATGTTTTGTAAACGCTTGGTCATCGTGATAAAGTCTGGGTATAAAGTGGCCCTTACGGGGAAGGGTAGCTTACTTAAGAATCTAGCGGAATTATTTATTCACTCCTTGATTTAAAAGAAGTCACTGGAGGGGCGCCTGGGTGGCGCAGTCGGTTAAGCGGCCGACTTCAGCCAGGTCACGATCTCGCGGTCCGTGAGTTCGAGCCCCGCGTCGGGCTCTGGGCTGATGGCTCAGAGCCTGGAGTCTGTTTCCCATTCTGTGTCTCCCTCTCTGCCCCTCCCCCGTTCATGCTCTGTCTCTCTCTATCCCAAAAATAAATAAACGTTGAAAAAAAAAAAAAAAAAGAAGTCACTGGAAACTTCAGTTCTTCCTATGAAACAAAATTTTCAAGTTGCCAAGCATCTTGATGTCATTAGTATTTTATCTCTTCTTCCTTGTAAGCAAACTACAATTCTGAAACAGTGGGAGAAGCGTGGCAAGGATGTGACTTTGTCATCTGAAATTCACTCAGGTGTTGAAACTACTACAGCGGATAGTAATTCTCTTTGCATCTTTAGAAAGCGACTTGCAAACCAAGCTGTGAAAGCAGCCTACAGCATCGCCACCAGTCAGGCCTCACCACTGGTGTCAACAACGCCTCGAACACGAGCTGCCAACAACTGAAATCTATAAATAGGAAGATCTGGAAAGTTTAAACAAAGAAGTTGAAATAGGGACTCTGAAAACCACTGGGAGCTGGTAGGGTTCAAACAGGAGTTGGCGAAGGGCTAAATATTTCCTTTAATGCTACAGACTTCCCCTTTAGTTCTATTTCTTTAGGTTCCTTGCCAGAAGCAAATCCAATCTCTGCTGACAATCACCAAGATTTCTGCCTGAAGAAAAGGAGCAGGGTCCGAACAGACACAAATGACAAAGCACTAATGTGCTTTGTTTTCATGACAATCAGTGGTTTCCAAGTGGGTGAAAATGCATTTGAAAATCATTCTAATTACCAGAAGCAAAGCTATCTTCTCAATTAACTCACTCTTAACCAAAACCTATTTTCCAACCCTCCCTTGTCATGAACCCATCCATCTAAAAAAGCAGAGTTTAGGGGCGCCTGGGTGGCGCAGTCGGTTAAGCGTCCGACTTCAGCCAGGTCACGATCTTGCGGTCCGTGAGTTCGAGCCCCGCGTAAGGCTCTGGGCTGATGGCTCGGAGACTGGAGCCTGTTTCTGATTCTGTGTCTCCCTCTCTCTCTGCCCCTCCCCCGTTCATGCTCTGTCTCTCTCTGTTCCAAAAATAAATAAACGTTGAAAAAAAAAATTTTTTTTAAATAATAAAAAAATAAAATAAAATAAAATAAAAAAGCAGAGTTTAACACAATAGGGAAAAACGAATCTCTAACTTTGGAAGTCTAGCAATTTTCCCTAAAAAAGTCCTCATAATACTTCCAAAGGACCCAATAAGACATTATCTAGACCAGCACTGTTCAGCAGAAATACAATGCGAGCTATGTGTGTAATTCAACGTTTTTCTAGCAGTCACATTTTAAAAAGGGACATGTACAATTAATTTAAATAATATATTACATTTAACCCAATGTAGCCAAAATACTCTTTCAACATATAAATCAATAAAGTTATTGAGATACATTCTTTTTTTTTTCCATACTAGGTCTTTGGAACCTAGTTTATATTACAGTTCAAATAGACACCAAATTTTCACAGGAAATACTTGATCTGTATTTAGATTATACAAAATCTACAGTTGAAAAGGTAAATTCACATATCCAAGCTGTTCCGAACACACTTTAAAAGATTTTTAACAAAAATCAAGTACATTTTAAAATTAAATAAATTAAGAATTCAGTTTCTCTGTGGCACTAGCCATTTCCAGGGCTCATTCGCCACATGTAGCTACGGGGAACCACACCGTGTATTGTAGGTTAGAGCCTGGGACAGTGAGCACCCCACGGGAATGAGGAGAGGTCACAAGGTGTGATGCTGTCCCACATGCTTTCAGAAACATCATCAAGTCTGGGTAGACAACGACTACACATGACCCATGTTCCTCTTCTTGCCTTTTTTTTTTTTTTTAATTTATTCCGAGAGAGAGAAAGAGTACACATGAGGGAGCGGGGGAGGGGCAGAGAGAGAGACAGAGACAGAGACAGAGAGATGGAGAATCCCAAGCAGGTTTCCATGCTCAGCACGGAGCTGAGTCGGGGCTCAATCTCATAACCATGAGATGGTGACTTGAGCCAAAATCAAGAGTTGATCACTTAACCATCTGAGCCACCCGGGCACCCCTCTCTTCTTGCACTTCTCCAATTACAATGGTCAGTCATTAGGGGCGCATGGGTGCCTCAGTCAGTTAAGCGGCTAATTCTTGGTTTGGGCTCAGGTCATGATCTCAAGGTTCTTGAGTTCAAGCTTCACATCAGGCTCTGCACTGACACGGCCGATTCTCTCTCTCCCTCTTTCTCTACCCCTCCTGTACTCTCTCTCTCTCTCTCAAAATAAATAAGACTTAAAAAAAAAAAAGGAAAAACAAGGGTCAGTCCTTAGAGTCCTCTAAACTGGAAGCCATGTACAGAGAAGGACAGAGGGGGCAGAGGTACTTCCTGTCCTGTACTCAGTGACGATGAGCCTCTCAGAACTCAGCAGAAAGAATATAGAGGAGTTCAGGCTCCACCAAGAGAAGTCTATTACTTTCTTCTTCTTATCAATATCTATCTCCCTCGCTCGCTTGCTCGCTCACTCTTTTAACCTACCTAACAAACTTCCCTGGGAGCTGCAAAACAAGTTTGTTCAGGATGCCACTTTGCAGCTTCAGCTCTCCTCCCCAGCTCAGATCATCCCTGTGCCAGGCAACCTCTCCTCACGTGGATTTTCTTGAACTTGGTCACAACCTTTCTTAGGCGACACCTAGAAATAACCCACCTGCAGCCCCTAAGCTTTGGGGACTCTGCTTCATACTAATTATTTCTACCATCTGCCATTCCTGGACCATACAAGAGAGGTTTAAACGTCTCAGAAGACCCTCTGCACTCATCAGAGGAAAGAGGTATCTAGTTAAGAGACAACAGAGTTGACGTAGAAAGTGGAAGTAAGGCCCTACACACAGTAAAAGACACGATTCCAAGTTCCTCGAGAGCAAGTCTGGGTCCAACCTGTGCTCACCTGCCTGGCCTGACTCCATGCAGCAGGTAAAGCAGCTGCTGAAAAGGAACAGAGGCACTCTAGGCTGTGACCGATGCCCCACCGGAAGGACATCCTTGCATCCCCTCCCCCCACACACTCAATCTCTTACACTAACCTTCCCGTTTCAATGCAACTTGCATGTGTCTTTCTACCAATTCTCGTCACCTGCGCGTGCCTTTCCGTCCTTGCAAGACTGAAGAACCACACAAGCGTAAGCCTGAACACTCAATATTCCCTCAACGCCAACTGATTCTTCCCACAAAAACTACAAAAAGAGGGGAGGGCAATCTTGAGCCTCAGTTTCCTCAGCTATAAAATGGAGACAACTGTGCTGATGGAATGACGAGGTTTCCAGTAAGTCAACTGAGTTAGAATAGGTGAAAAAGGCCGCACAAACCATGTCGTGTTCTTGTCACGCAATGGTTTCCACTACTTTCAGACCTAGGTTCAAAGACTAATGCTGCCTCCCTTGTCACAACTCTCACCAGAAGCTAAAAAAAAAAAAAAAAAATTCACAGGCCTTGTCTCACAGCATTATAACATTTTCTTTGTGCACGACAGATCACTGGGAAGAGAAGAACACGCAGTATTTTCCTTGGTTTAGGCTAGAAAAATAAATCAGCCCCATTTTCAGAGGCTGGCCTTGAGTGTGTTACATCGAAATTGCAGGATGGGGCATCTGGGTGGCTCAGCTGGTTGAACATCCGACTCTATAGACTTTGGCTCAGGTCACGATCCCAGGGTCGTGGGATCGAGCCGGCGTCAGGCTCTGAGCGAAGCATGGAGCCTGCTTGGGATCCTCTCTCTCTCCCTCTGCCCCTCTCCCCCACTCTCTTTCAAATTAAAAATAATAATAATAATACAAATTTTAAAAAAATTAAAAATAAATTGCAGGATAAATAGGGGTAAGATGAAAAGCTCCATGAGACCCTGAGCATCTTAACACCTAAATAAAACCCCAGCTCTTTCAAATCCACTGTCAATCACATTCTAGTTCAATAAAAATGTTAAGACAACTTCTTAAAGTTGACTGTAGGTTTTTAGCTCTATCCTCCCAACGCAGGACTTCAAGCAGTTCCCTCCCTCCCATGGGCTCAACTGCCCATTCAGGGCCTCCTGTCCTGCCTCTACCTCTCCTCCCGTCTCAGGCCAAGTCTCCCCTTTCTGCACGCACCTGCTCTCCTCAGCAGATCTGCCCTTGAGTCTGGATCTAGGTGCTGTCTTCACAGTTCCTCGTTTCCAAGTTGACGGTTTGCAGGTGAGGCCTACCTCACCTTCACCTGCTTCTCAGGCCCCCACGGAGCACACTGGAGCCCCAGACCCTTCCACTGAACCAGGAGGGAAGGCTGTCATTAGCAGAAAACTCTGAGTGAGCAGGGATCTCTCTATCCTGTTCCCCTCGCACCTAGAGCAGTGCCTGTTCGCTAGCACTAGGCACCCGTTGCTGGATGGATGGATGAATGAATGAATGAATGAATGAATGAATGAATGAATGAATTGAATGAGCCTCGTTAGTCCCACCAAGAGCACTTCTTGATGTCAACACAAACTCATCTTTTGCCTTGTGTTTTCCCCCTAGGGCCACCCAGCGAACTCATTGACAAAGATTTTAAGTCCAACTATCCACATGAGAATCTTGCTACAAGCTGCCTCATCTCCTCTTCTCCCCTCCAAGAGGCATGTTCACTGCCCCATTATCCAGTTATCTGACTTGGTTTTAGGCCTTATTCCAGGTGGTTCCAAGCTCCTGGAACACCTGACCTACTATGATCCCATCTCATCAATTCTGCTGCCTCTTGAGGTAGATCCTTTATAATGTGATTAGACTTAGTCCAGTGATGCCATCTTTCCCCAGAAATACTTTAGAAACACCTCTTTTAGGACTTTCAGAACCAGTTATGATGATTTAGTGCTCCTGTTTGTATCTGGCCAAAAACAGTTTGGCCTCATCGGACTTGAGGCCAAATAATTTCGGCTATTTCCGAAACGTAGATCCCGCCTCAAGGACCAAAGTTGTTCATTACTCTAATTATCTATTTAATGTTTCTCTCTCAGATAGACTTAAAAAAGTGGCGGCAGACTACGTTTGTGTTGTTGACTGCACTACCCCAAGCACAGAGCCCGATGTGCTGCAGGGGTGAAACTAATGAGTGAGTGAATAAATGAATGATCTGAAGACCTTCCCAAAAGATTTTTCTTTGATTCAATGAACACATGCCTGACACTGCTGGGGGTTGAGAATATGGAGATGAATAAGAAAAAAAAATTATTTTCTTTAAAGAGCTTAAAGTCTGGAAGAGAAAAAAACTTACGGAAAAGGGAAAAATATTTATTGTCAAGTCTTATGGAGCACGCACATATATTATTTCATTTAAGTGCCTCAGCAATCAAATAAGTGTGAGATTTTGATCCCCATTTTAAAGACTAAAAAGTTGGAATTCGACAGTGTTACACAACTTGCGTAATATTAATAAGTGACAAGCCGGTCTTTGAACCCAGAGCCTATGAACTAAGGACCTTTCTTCCATGACACCAAGCAACGGCTGTGCAATTCAAGCAAATGTTTTGGCTTTTAAGCGACTACTTCTGAAAGCCTGAAGGAGATGACACGTAAATAGCTATCTAAGTGCAGGTATGCATATTCCTTCTTTTGGCCTTATCCCTACTATTCTAGAAATCACGTTAGGTGACACAGCAACCCTGATTTCACTAAGAGGTAAGACCTCGAAAGACCAGATCCCTTAGCTGTACTCTCACGGGCATTGAGAAACCACAGGCTCGCTCAGTCGGAGCTCCAGGCCCCCCGTTCTGTGCTGATGTTGGGGCAAAGGTACTTTCAGGAGAAGCTCCCATGGGAATGTTGGTGGACCCACAAACACCTAGGTGGGTAGAGTAAGCAGCAGATAAACACTGGTACACGCGGAACTGGAAGGAAAAAGAAGGCCTGGAGACAGGAACTAGCCTCTCGAAAAGGGGCCACATGCCATGAATTATGGAGACTTCTTGCTCATTCTTACTACTAAGTAGATGGAGAATGGAGACTTTCGAGTTTTATTTTAATGACATTTTAAAGAGACAGAAGTCTCATATTGTTATCACAAAAGACATTCAAATCTAGGGATCACATCTCTCTCCTTAGATCTCTTTCTTCAGTTCTAGAAAGATTTTTTTACCGATCTAGAGGTGTGGTGGCCAAGAGCTATGGTGTGGGAGCACCCACGGGTGTTTTCAGTCTCGGCTCTGGCACTTCATGACTTTGTGCAACTTTGTGCCAGTTACTTAAACTCCATAAGCCTCAGTCGGTTCACCTACACCGGGGGGGGGGACTAACAACACTGGCTCTCCCTCAAGGGCTGTGAGGATTGAAGGACATGATACACTAGAACTTAGCACGGGACCTCGCAGGCAAAAAGTTTAATAAGTAGCAACGAGAAGCGTGCATGTGCCAAAATTGTGGTAAATCTTAAGGACATACAGATACACACACATACAGATATGGTCATTTCTGAGATGGCTTGGTAGCTCCATCTGTGGTAGATTCAAGATATCACATAATTACACATAATTATCACATAATCACATCAAGGGCTGCATGATAAAAGACACAATGCTCGTGCAAAACTGTTACCTGCTACAGGATTTAAGTCACCTTCCAGTGCCTTTGCAAATTATCTATTTTTAAGCAAGGAAAAAAAAAATGGGGCGGGGGGTGGGGGGGGACCAGGAAAGTGGAAAGACTCAATTCCCACAAAGATGCTGCCATAGAAGCGGCCCCTTCCAGGTCTAGCGTCCTGGCCTGATACCCGGATTCGGTAGCTATTCCAGGAGAGCTCTTTCGAGGTAATTTCGCGAACACTATTAGCAATGCTTTGCTAAAAGGTAAACCAGGCATTTGATTCTTTTTTTTTTTTTTAACGTTTATTTATTTTTGAGACAGAGAGAGACAGAGCATGAACGGGGGAGGGGCCGAGAGAGAGGGAGACACAGAATCGGAAGCAGGCTCCAGGCTCTGAGCCATCAGCCCAGAGCCCGAGGCGGGGCTCGAACTCACGGACCGCGAGATCATGACCTGAGCTGAAGTCGGACGCTTAACCGACTGAGCCACCCAGGCGCCCCCAGGCATTTGATTCTTTTGATGAACGTGACTACAACTGAAACATCCGGGGGTCTGCTGAACAGAGGTTTCCCCACCACCTGCCGCCACGATCAGTTGTCAGCTCTACTGGCATTTGTGGATCAACTTTTCAATATCGTGGAGCATGGGAGTGGTGGTGTGGAAGGTGTCTGATAACGCGCACGTTTCACTTCTTACGTGTAGGTGACCTGTTCTTTGCCAATGACACCTTTTCCCCCCGCTGGTTCCGTAACCATTCAGGGGCAGCGTTGCCTAGGAAGAATTGTCAGGAGGAAAGCCTGGCACAATTATTCAGTTAGTACCCACACACTGTGTACTTACCCTCCCTTACCTGTAACACCTTTTTTGTAACCTCTGAAATCAACAGGGGGCAACGAACGAACACAAGGTGACACGTCAGGGGGTCTGGTACAGTGGGAAGGGCTAAGGGGGAAATTAAGTACACTCGGTGCCTTCTATGTGCCAACGCTAAGATAGGATACCTTTTGGTTTTATAGATGATGAAAGCCAGCCTCGTCAAACTTAAAGAATGTTCCTTCCCATGCCATACAACAAACGGTGCGAGAACTCGAACCAAGGTATGTTGGATTTTAAAGCCATGATCCCTTTACATTCCCCCCCCCCCCCAAAATGAGGAGTAAGGATCTTTGGCAAAAGGAGAGTGGCATTATGGACTCGTGAAAGATGGTAAAAAATATATATATATTGGAAAGTTTTTGAAAGTCTTAGTGTTTCACAAGACGACTGCATACCTGGAGTTGGACAATTTAGGTACAAGCAAGCATATTCTGACATCTGGGGTAATGTATTTAGGCCCACTGCCAGGGTGTCCTAACAGCACAGGTTGTTCTAGGTCCTCTGGAGGCAGGAAAAGGAAAAGATGTCTGTGTATCAGGTGCACCTGGGGAACCATGGTGGCCACCCTCTCCCTCCCAGCACATTCAAATAACACAGCGTAAGACGGCAGAAAAAGACGAGGTGGGTACCGATGGGTGGAAATACCCTAAGTATGTCGAAAGACTCATGCTTAAAGAAAAAGGTCCTCCGTGTGAGTAGAGCTTATGAAAGGGACCGGAGTCCATTTTCTCGTTGACCTCTCTTGCTTCCTACTTCCTGCTTCTTTCTTCATAGTATGTTTGAGCAGAAAAGGGCCCTAGAAATCGACACCAGCGTCCTCATTTTTCAGATGAAACATCTGAGACCAAGAGAAGTATCTGAAATCACACTTCTTGTTTCAGAAATTAGGTGGCTATCAGTTCTCATTTTCGCTTTTCACCATATACTGTAGTAAGGAGCGAAAGGGCAGACCAAAAACACAAACAAAACACAACAAAACCAGAAAGAAAACCCCCAAGAAACCAGAAATTTTACTTCATATCACAAAGATACCCCTGCTCATCTTGAATTTCCCTAATTCCATGACAATGTGCTTTGAGTCTTCTTCAACTACCAAGAGGCACTAAAGGTTTCTACGACCTCATTCACACACTCTTGTCTGGGTCACTTCTAAGGCCAGGCTGAAGGGCAGGACTGTGGGGTGGCAGGATTTCTCTTCACTCAGGGTCACATGCATTGGTGGCCTCCTTGGATGACCAACCATCCTGGTTTCCCTGGGGTTGAAAGGGTTGCTGGGATGTGGGATTTCGGTGCTAAAACCAGAAAAGTCCCAGGGAAACCAGGACAAACTGGTCCCCCTACTGCCTACAGCAGGGCCACATTCTCAACTGAGCTGATGAACCTGGACAGGTAAAATGTATTTAGCTGGAAGGTTTAGCTGGTATGACACCGGCAAAACGGTCGCTAACATTTCAAGTGTTTAAGAAAAAGAAAGCAGAATGAAGATTAACGACTATAAAGAGCCTTCCGTTTGGGGAGGAAGGTATTCTCAAAGTCGGAAGTGTTAAGTCCATAAAAGAAACAATATGAGAATGCAGTGGGGCTTTTTCATACCTAACAAGTATGACTAAATCTCTGAACACTTCCTGTTCCGTCCCATGTTTTTCTGAAATTCGCTTTTCCTTATCGGCCAAGGAGGTAAAAAAAAAAAAAAAAAAAAAAAAGTTGTTCTCCCTTCTCTTCTTAAGAATAACGGTGGGGAATTTCAAAAACCTCCAAAAGCTTCTAAAGTTTAGCAAGCTCTTGCTTTCGTACAGAAATATTATGGAGAAACAAACAGCACGCATCTTCTTCCCCTGTAAGCATCCTCTGTTCTTGCTACATGGAATTGGAGGTGAGCAGAAAACTACCTGATTAGAACAGATAAATTCTCACACTCAAGTAGCACCCGTTCATTCAGCCAGTGTCTAGCGATACTTTCAATCAAAAATTGGTTTGTTGCTCAACACTGTGCCAGGTGCTGAGAACCCAACACTGAACGAGGAGGATGTATTTTCGTTTTACGTAGCACAGTATCCTAAAGATCAAACACTCCTTTTTGGACTTATTCCTGATTCTCCTGGTTGCGGTGGAAGATGACAGCCGCCCTAACATAAAACTTCACGCTGAAATCATGTCTCCCAGGCAGCACTCCCCATTCTCTTAAGAGCGGTGCCCACAGAGGGCCATCTCACTTTCGCCTTTTCTGGGTCACCAAACACACTGGAGGCGCTCAGCCTAGAGAAGGCAGACAGGCTGTGAGCCAAGGAGGGGAGCATGTCCATGGGCTCCCCTACTCACAAGAACAGCTTAAAGCTGCCTGTACGCATATTTGGGAAAGGCAAATTCTCCCACCTTCTCTGATGTCCTAGACGCATGACATGCACAAGATAAAGTCATTTTCTAGGGAAGGGGAAAGGGCAGCCCCCCTCCCCGCCCCCGAGAGGCCAGGGGCTGGGGAGGGGGGGAAAGGTTTCTCTCCTTCCACGTGGGTCCACTCTAATGGCTGACTTGCACCTTGCCAAGCAAAAGGAGGAAATCAAATCAAGCGCACAAGTTCGCCCACAAGTTCTGCAGAGGAGACAGCGGTCACTGCCATTATCTGCACCTTCTGCACCTGTTGGATGAGTCTGAAGGGTTGAGAAAACAGGGTCGTGGGAGGGCAGGGCCGGGACAGCTGTCCCCTCCCCTCCCCAGCCACATGGCCAGTTCAGGCAACACTGCTACCTCTCCCACGCGTCCACAGTCATTGAACTCTGCCAGCCCCATGGCTGCAACGGACAGTTCAGTCTTTGGTGAGATCTCTGGGACCTGCCTACGTGCAGGCCTCCTGGGAGATCTCTGGGCCTTAGTGACTTGTGCCTTTGTGCACACACAATTGGTTTCTTTGAGCTTGGCAATCCCAGACCAGGAGCCTTACTGGACTTCCTCTATTTATACAAGACTCGTCAAGCCAGTTAGGCTGCTTTTCTGCCACCTTTCTTTCCAGATGCCTCTAAAATGCCAAGCTACCAGGAAGCAAGTGAGGGATAGGGTTTTCTCACCACCATCCTCAAAGACCTACAAAGGCATGCATAGGCCATAGGCTTCGCCAAAGGCCTGCCGCCGTGCTCTTAGATGGTGGAGTGTGTTTTTAAGGATTGCAAGGGAACAGTTGTCAAAAGTAAGGTCAAAGTCAAATGCACTGTGTTTCCATCATTACTGCTGGCCTCTTTCCAGAGAAAGTAAAAATGCACCCCCTAAAGCTGGCGGCAAGTCCTGTGGTTGCATCAATAATAATTTTCACTTGCACAGAAAAATCCCCCGGTAGCACATAAATGTTCATGAACTCCCCTCTTTTATTTTTGCAGAGCCAGAAAAAGTGGTAGAGAGAAATTAACTGCCCCTGTGAATCAGCAAAAAACCAAGGGATGGGACCCACGACAGCTAGTCTTCCTGCTTTAACCCACACATCTGGCACACCACTGGGAAAATGGTTATTTGTTCACTACAAGGAAGATGACCTTTAACTTCAAGCATGTAAAGTAAAAAAAAAAAAAAAAAAAAAAAAAAAAATTAAAAAAAATCTTAAAAGACACCAGTTATTTTGTAGAGAGGAGAATCAATAAATTAGTAGGCTAGGGCACAGTTCTTTCCAGAGGTCAAGATGGCATCTAACCAAGGTCAAGACCATATGAACCAAGAGTTCAAAGACCACTATCTTCTCCATGGCATTTATATTGAGATGGCCTCAAGATTAAGGAAGAAATCGTCAAATTGCCAGCAGTCACACCAAACGGGACAGGGAAACTGGCTCTTCCTTTCACATCTATCTCTTTCTGCATTCATAGTGCAGCAGGTGACCCAGGGAGCAACCGTCTCAGATCCCAGGACAGACCACTTGGTAGGCATGAACCACACCTATTTCTCTACAGCCTGACCTTCACCTGTTCCCAGATGGCTGCCTAATGGCTGGAAGGACCTTCAGAAAGGTTCTTCAGTTAAAGGTACAAAGCCTTTGAACAGGTCTCTGATTCAGGGGCGCCTGGGTGGCTCAGTTGGTTGAGTGTCCGACTTCAGCTCAGGCATGATTTCATGGTTTGTGGGGTCAAGCCCTGCATCAGGTTCTGTGCTGACAGCTGGGAGCCTGGAGGCTGCTTCGGATTCTGTGTCTCCCTCTCTCTCTGCCCCTCCCCCATTCATGCTTTGTGTGTGTCTCTCTCTCTTTCTCTCTCTCTCTCTCTCTCTCAAAAATAAATAAGCTTACCACCCACAGTATACTCATGAGTATACCCAGAAGATCAGATAAAATCCTGAAAACATGGGCAAAGTCCAACCGACAGCTGCCCCTTCTAGGCCATGAACTGGCACACCTAGCCGTTTGGCAACTGTTCTTCAGCAGTCAACAATCCTTCAGCAGATCTTACCTGCCTAAGCAGGAAACAGTGATAAGGCTAAAACTAGTTCATGCTCACTGCTATGGTTTCTCACGCTTGAGCAGAACTCAGTTTAGAAACAGAACCTAAACAAAAAATTTAAAAAAGAAAAAAGAGGGGCGCCTGGGCGGCTCAGCCGGTTAAGTGTCCGACTTTGGCTCAGGTCATGATCTCACGGTTCGTGAGTTCGAGCCCCACGTCAGGCTCTGGGCTGACAGCTGGGAGACCGGAGCCTGCTCCGGATTCTGCATCTCCCTCTCTCTCTGCCCCTCTCCCGCTCATGATCTGTCTCTCAAAATTCAATAAACATTAAAAAACATTTTTTTGAAAAAGAAAAATGAAAAAGAAAATTAAAAAAATAAAAAGAAAGAGAACCTTAAACTGTTGCAGATCAGTTCAGCTGGAATGTCATCGAGCCATCAAAAAAAAGAGAGAATGTCCAAGTGTCTTGTAAACTATAAAGCCCGATATACAATGCTACTTATTATTATATCGGTATTAAATAGCTAAAAGTAGAATATGAAATTGTAACAAAACATTGATAAAAACCATCCGGTAGCTATGGGAGCACATAGGGCTAAAGACTGAAGAAGTCAGGTGCAGGAGGTTGGTTACTACGTAAAGAAGTTCAATTTTAAAAAAATCTTTTAAAGTGGTTTAAACATTTAATTAACAATAAATAAGTTTAAATGATTTCCTGTAATTATAAATGTCTATGACGCAATTTGACAGTAAAACTAGTGTCATAAATCTTAACTCTGAAGGGGATCTCCAAATAGCCTCAAGGCCAGCCCCGTCGCCTCTATCACCATAGAGTAAATAGGATCTAATTTTTAAGGTGTAGACTATTCTCTCATGAGGCATACCAGTCCTTACTGGTGTATAATTCACCCCTAATTTACTCCACTGTGAGGAATGAATATACAGCTTGAAAGAAGAAAGGACAGGCAACAGAAGCCTTTTTTTAAGGTTTATTTTATTTTTGAGGTGGGGAGAGAGAGAGGGAGAGAGAGCACAAGCTGGGGGAGGGGCAGAGAGAGAGGGAAACACAGAATCCGAAGCAGGCTCCAGCCTCCGAGCTGTCAGCACAGAGCCCGACGCGGAGCTTGAACCCATGAATCGTGAGATCATGACCTGAGCCAAAGTCGGACACGTAACCCACTGAGCCACCCAGACGCCCCACGAAGTCTTTCTAGAAGTCCCATGACCAAGTCCTATAACTGGAACCAGAGCCACTTTCCTGGCCAGGGTCAGCTCCTGTGGAGCCATCAGGGGGCCCTTGGTGGTAGCACTCCATGCTCACCTGTGACCACCAAGCCCCAGGCTTCTTCCCCGAGCCTGTGATGCAGTCTATACGGCACATGGGCTAGAACACTTCCTTCGCTTTTCATAATGATGCGAAAATCGGCTTCAGTTCCCCCACACTTTTAATCAAGCCTCTTAACCAGAAAACCAGCTCCAAGTATGCTTGAGGCTGTATTTTCTTAGCTCTTCCTATTTCTTATTCTGAGGCCTTCTTTAGCATTATTATCATCCCTCTCAAGTGACTTCATGAATGACAAGGATGAAAGAGAAGAACAAAGGGGATGTAAAATGACCGAAGGGCCACCACAGTGGAATGGGAAGCTCCCAGGTACACTGCCCTGATGAGGTAGAGGGCCCTAAAAGATGGTTTTTCATGTGGGGCCCTTGTCACAAAAGCTACTTCTGTGGCTGGTGCACACGTACAAACAGCCCTGTAACCCATGGGACGTGGGCCTGTCTGTGCTATGTAAGGTTTCTTCTGTGCCGCTCTCTCTGTTGGGAGAGTCAGGTAAACTCCAGACTCAACACTTGTCATCCAGGGTGGAGTGTGTGAGTGTGTGTGTGTGTGTGTGTGTGTGTGTGTGTGTGTGTGTGTGCATCTACCTCCTCAGAGCTACAAGGCAGGGCCTCTGCCTATTGGTATCTTTCTCGCTCTGCCCACGCATACATTTACTTACGCTCCACCATACAGATATATCTCTTCCCCAACCACGACTTCAAATCTTGGCATGGACATTTACTAGCTATTTTGCACAAGTGACCCAGCCCCTAAATCCCCGTTTCCTCGTCTGTAAACTGGAGATAAAGACACCTATCTTGAAAGGCTGTACAGATTAAATGAGTCGTGTGTGTGTGTGTGTGTGTGTGTGTGTGTGTGTGTGTGTGTGTCTAAGGCTCCTTCCGCTGTATGATGCAGTATTTGGAACGCAGGAGGTATTTTCCTTCCTCTCTCTAGCCTAAGTACTCATGCACTTAATCTTGAACTGATTTGTATTTTTTAATTATTTTGGGTATATCTGATCTCCCCATCTTGGTTGTGGAGAATCACATCATGTTAATTTTTCCTATCTACTGTATTAGCTGTGCGCATAGTGAGTACCCAGTGTGACAACTGTAGTCTAGGATATTGAGGAAGGGGGTCATTTCCCCCACCTCCCATGATATCTGGTAATGTTTCCTGAGGAAACTATTGCAAGTTCTGGATATAGCTGATCTCCCCTCTGTCCCCTGGACTCCTCACACTCCCTCTTCCAGACATATCCCTCTGCCATTTGGAATGCCCTGAAGAACTTTGAAAAGCCAAGTTATCCATTCATTTGGTCGCTCTTTAATGTTTATTTATTTTGAGAGCAAGGGAGAGAGCGAGTGCACATGAGTGGAGGAGGGGCAAAGTGAAAGGGAAAGAGGGAAACCCGAGCAGGCTTTGCGCTGTTGTCTCACGAAATGTGAAATCAAGAGTGGGATGCTTCAATGACTGAGCCCCCCAGGCGCCCTCATCACTTCTTGAGTACATTTCTCTTGAGAACACTTCTTGAGTCCCTAAAAATTCCCTGAGTACCTACTATGTGCCAGTGACAGGCACTGTGAATCCATACTTGGACACAGAAATGGTTAAGACATGATTCTTGGGGCGCCTGGGTGGCGCAGTCGGTTAAGCGGCCAACTTCAGCCAGGTCACGATCTCGCGGTCCGTGGGTTCGAGCCCCGCGTCGGGCTCTGGGCTGATGGCTCAGAGCCTGGAGCCTGTTTCCGATTCTGTGTCTCCCTCTCTCTCTGCCCCTCCCCCGTTCATGCTCTGTCTCTCTCTGTCCCAAAAATAAATAAACGTTGGGAAAAAAAAAAAAAAAAGACATGATTCTTGCCCATCCTTGAGGCGACTGGAAGGAGTCAGACGGCAACATGGCAAACACTCAAAATAATCCAGCATTCCAGAGGCTAAGACAAGAGGAAGCTGTAATTCAGCTTACGAACACCGCTCTGAAATTTTAAAAATGTGTATTGCCTTTGAGATAGACCTTCAATGGACTGAACTTTGCTGAAATTGTAGGCAAACGGGAAACGCCATCCTGGTCGGTCACAAAACAGGTCAACACTTTTTGAGGCAAATGTCATTGCAAACAGAATCTCCGGATTGCCAAGTCTTTGTCAGTACCCTTCCTCATGTTAAGCCGTGTACGATGGAAAACAAAAGAATCTTCCTGCAACTAACATTTGGAATTCTGACCAATCCATTCACACTCCTATTCACAGCATAGCATGTAAGTATTTAGCATGAGACTAGGTGTTGAATGGAGAAAGGAGAAAAGAAAAAAAAAAAAAGGAAAGAAAAGAAGAAGAAGAAGAGGAAGAAGAAATGTAAGCCTTAAAAGCTCCCTGTGGATTCCTGGCAGGGAATGGATCCTGGAGGAAAGACGTGCCCTGACCCAGGGTGAACCTGATAGGGAAAATGGTCAGAGAAGGGGGCGGTGGCCAGTTCATGACAGAAGCAATATATAGTCATAGAACTCCACTCTTCCCAAATGGGAAGCTGGAGGACCCAGGGGACGGAGGATAAGACTTATCTGTGTGGATACTGGGGGAGCTCTACCCAAAACCTTGGCGTCATATAATGAGACAGGTCTCCCCTATACAGGTTCAATGCTAATGCTGAGTACCCAGCCAAAAGCCATTTGGGAAGCCTGCGAAGGTCTCATGCATGGACCATGCAGCCCAGCCAGAGAAGCCCCATATCGAGATATATATCTGCTACCAATACCTTAATAAACTGTCTCAAAATTTCTCCAAGTTAACACTTTTTCCTACTTCTCGAAAGCCTGTCATTCTTTCTCA